AAGTACAAATTCCAAAAATCCATACAGTGTCTTCAAATCATTTTAGATAACATCATATGTATAATATATATAGGGCATTGCTTGTGAAATTGGGGTCAGTTGTTATGTATGAATGTGTGCCTTTCATTATTTGCACAAGGAACAAGGCACCAGGAAAGCAATGAAAAGGCATCAAAAAAGAAAAAAAAAAAGGAGTTCTACGTCAATGTCCTTGGCCCATATTCTACTCTTAACTGCAACTGAAGGAGAAGCCTGGTGATGCAGGCTGGAAATAGCTTTAGTTCTTAGGAATGAGGAAAGGACAGAAGTGACCTGACGTCTGCACTGCTGATCTGAAGTATAAAGGAAACACTGTAAATCCATCACAGATACAGTCTCAAGGATACAGATTAGCACACATACAGTCTCTATCTTACTTTCTCTTATGCATATAAGTACTCAGTAAAACACTTGTATTCTTGTAAAAATCATTTGTATAAATCTTCTATATGACTCTAGTGAAATGTTGCTGTACCTAACCCAACAAATATTTGTCAAAAAATTTGTCAGAGACTAGCTCGCTAGCTAGTTTGTTGAACTTTATTCATCCAAGACATATTTGATGTCCCACGTTTTCTTCTTTAGTTTTGCACCGAAGGTGTGGACTAACAAATAAGAGATGTTTATATCACCAGGTTTGCGTCACGCAAACAGCATGCCTAAATTATCACAAACAAATTACATTGAGCTGTTAAGTGATCTCATATACACTCGCTAATATGGTTTATGATACTGTATGACACTGTACTGGACAAAAATATAAATGCAACATTTTTGGTTTTGCTCCCATTCTGCAGCAGTTTGACCAAATAAAATGCAGTATTTTTGTCCTGGAAATATGTTGTGCTGTTACAGGGAAATGGTAGTCACACCAGATACTACTGTGGGAATTTTGGTTCACAGCACACTCTGTTTTTTGCTGGGTCTCACTAAAGTACTTTCAGTAAAAAATGTTGCATTTATATTTTTGTAATTTGCAACAGAAAAAATGAAATTTGCAATTTTTACACTGCTAAGCTTTCATTACTGGTTGGCCACATTGGTGTTGTGGCTCCACTGCAACACTGCTGAAGCAAAACAAGTCTTGGCTGATTGACTATAAGCTGGGGTGAGGGAAAATTTCATCACTTATCCTCAGGAACCAAAAGCTAATAGTCTGTCTTTGTGTCTTTGGTGACACTTTATTTTAGAGTGGTCCCTTTTAGATGAAATAAACACTCAACAGACTCTCAAGTAATGTACCAACAACATATCAATGAAGTAGCAGAATAGAAGTGAATACATTCAGTAGATTATCAAAAGACATTTAATTAACTGCATAAATAAAATTTATAATCTGCTGGTTGTTTTTCACTGTATGTAGATTGTCCAAATTCATACATCCTGTTAACCTGAGAGGTCACTGAACATGTAACAGGTTCAATATAGATAATCTCAGCATCCTAAACAAGCGGTTACAGACATGCTGTTGATACCATTCAGTAACCGGAGCTTAACTCGATTAGGTTTTAGTTAAGGGTAGGGTTAGGTTTAAGGTCAGGGTAAGGGTTAGAATTAGGTTCTGGGTTGAGGTTATGGTTAGGGTTGGATTAGGGCCAGGGTGAGAGTGTGGGTTAGGGTTTGGGTTATGTTTTGGGTTGAGGTTAAGGTTAGGATTAGGATTAAGGCCAGGGTGAGGGTGAGGGTTAGGTTTTGGGTAAGGTTTTGCGTAATGGAAGTACCATGTCTAATTCATTCATATCAATAAAACATCTACTTAATGTAAGTAATATATCAACAGTACGTCATCAAGATATTTACATAGATGTATTCATCACCATCATCATCATCATTATCACCATTTTTTATTTAAGATGGGGTTTACATTGAGGGGGGACCCTCATTTACAATGTAGCTGAGAGCCACAGGAAGAGTATATCAAAAACACACATAAAAAAATTAAGATTGTGAAGATAAAGATTCCAAAGTAAAGATAAAATAATAAGAGAAGTGTTTAAAAATATTAAAGAAATGCACGATAAAAAAACAATATAATAATGAGAAACAGGAAAACAATAATAAACAATAAATTGAGTAAAAATATATAAAAATAATAATAGTACGTAAAGTGGAAAAATAAAGATAAAAATAAGTAGATAAATAAAATATACAACTAAAATAGTTACAAACAGAACTTAAATGATTAGAAAGTAAAATTTTAAAAATCCTAGGAGAAACTAGTGAGTCATGCTTTAGAGTACCTTGTACCTTGTTCCAGCTTACTGGAGCACCATAGCTAAAGGCAGTTTTAACCCAGCTCAGTAAAAACTAAGGGAACCTCAAGTGAAAAAAAATCATATGAGCGGGTTTTGTAAAGCATATCCTTTACAGTGAGCATGGAGGTAATATACTCTTGCATCTGACTGAAAAGAGCTTTATAGATAAACAGTAGCCAGTGTCTTTCTTACAAATAAAGAGGACCATCCCACTTTCTCATATAGCATGCACTGATGAGTCCTGTATGGATCTCCAGTAATGAATCTCAAAGCAGAGTGATAAAGAAGGTCCAGAGCTTTCAGAGTGCTCGCTGAGGCATTTCTGTACAGCACATCACTGTAATCAAGAACAGACAGGAAAGTTGCCTCCACAATGGTTTTCCTATAAATAAGATTTGTGTCTGTAAAAGAATCTGAGCTTCTGCCTCAGTTTATTTGTAAGTTTACTGATGAGAGTTTTAAAATCAAGTTTCTCATCAAGCCAGATGCCAAGGTACTTATACTCATTTACTCTTTCAATAATGGATCCATGTAAAGTAAAAACATTTAAAATGTTATTTTCAATATGAGCAGTGTTATGTTTTTTTTCCTAAAACCATACTGCTGTGTGCTAAAAATGGAGTTTACTTGGAGAAATGACTGGAGTTCATCATTTATTAGTAGTTCTAATATTTTTGCGAGACATGACAATTTTGAGATTGGCCTGTAACTATTTAAATCATATACATCTCCACCTTTATGCAATGGGGTTACATTGGCTATTTTCCAGATACTGGGGACTATGCCTGATAAAATCAAGAGATTAAAGATATGAGCAACATGCTCTGAAATGATTGGGGTGGCAAGTTTTAAGAAAAAGGGATCCAGCTTATCCTTGCCCGTTGATCTTCTATTGTTTATGGTTAAGGGTGCTTTTGATCACACTGAAGGAAAAGGGGTGGAGGGTAGAACAGGCATTATGGCTTACAGCATCTTTGGACTCAGTAACATTTGGAGGTGGTTTTACTGATATTCTGTCAAATAAGTGACCAGCAGCAAGTGTTTGTTAAAAGTCACACACACCTCTTCTTGGTCAGTTATCAGACGATCATCCAGTGCAATCTGAGGTGGGATAGAAGATAAGGGCTTATTTTTCACTGAGTTAACAGCCTTCCAAAACTTGACTGGGTTTGACTGAGAGCTAGAGATCAGATTCCAATAGTAGTCTGATTTAGCTTTCTTAATCAGAGATGTGAGATTCCTCCCCTGCCTGTCTAGCAAGTTTCCAGGCTTTATTTCTTGCCTTAAGGAGTGACAATATTTCATTAGAGAACCAGGGGCTTGATCTATCCTGAATTCTGTAGTTTTAAAAGGTGTTTGTTGACTACAGAGAGAAAGGTTTGTACTGAAGTGCTTAAGTGCTGTATCAACATTCTGAAGTTCAGAAGTGTAATGAATATTACCAAGTGCAATATCATGTAAAAAGCCTGCTCATTCAAATATTTTAAAATTTCTCGATCTCCATTCTAGAACCAGACTTTTTAATTTGAGTGCTCCTGATGCACATGATTAGGTAATAATCAATAAAACCTAGATCAAAGACTCCTGATGCTGTAATTCTATCACTCCTAGTTAAAATTAGATCAATCAACGTTGATCAGTTGTGAGAGATTAAGATCATCACACAATTCTTTCAGGTAGTGAGTACTTTGCCAGTTTAAGTTTAAATCACCCATGATGATAGCTTCTGAGTTACAGTATTTAGCTAACAGCTCTGCAATACCATCAATGGCATATGAAGGAGCAGAAGTAGGTCTATATACCCCTACTACACTGACTGAGGTGTTTTCTTCTACCGTTATTTTCAAAGCTAAAAGTTTAAAGCAGTTTTTTACAGTGATGACATCAAGAACTGTAGTAGTAAAACATGACTGCTACACCAACACCTCTTGAATCTCTGGCACATCTATGCAAACACAGTTATTGAAGGCCACTTCAGAGTCACTTGTATGCTTTCGTAACCAAAATTCTGTAAGCACCACAATATCTGGGTCAGTCTGTAAAATCAGAACCATAAGTTGGTCTAGTCGCTCTTGCTGCAGGAGGCTTCTAAAATTTAAATGAGTTAAGCCTGGACCACTTCTGTTTTTAAAGATGCCGGGGTCCTGACGTTTAGATTCTGTGACCTGTGGAACTGAAAGTGATCTGAGAGGTGATGGTGAAGGCTTTATATAGATGAGATTATCTGTGTTAACTGTGGGAGCATTTCTGAAATTTCTACTACTATGTGTAGTATAGGCTCTGTATATATATGCCATTGAATTCTTCCTTTGGGTGCTAATCACAGGGATGCTAAAATAGTCATTACTGGAGTCCAGTAGTCAGTTCGTATTAAGGACAGAATAAAAAATACTGTCCACTTCAATATTAGTAGTTAATTCAGATGATTAACTACTGCTGTTTCACTGATATATTGTTGATGTGTTACTGATACTCTGGTAAGAGTGTATTAATCATCTACAAAGGACCACTCAAAATTACATGTTACTGTCTCTTTCACTTTTTTAAAAAAACAAAAGCATAACATTTTTTTTGCAAGAAAATTATTCCTTGAAGCCAAATGCCCCCCCACTCCCCCAGAAAACACACACACATTCACATGTTATCATCCCCGCTTCCTTTACAAACTTTTTTATTGATGACTTCCTAAGACAGTAGAAGCAGTGGGTGTAATGTGAGTGTTTCATTTTGTGCTAGAAATCCTGAATTCTTCTCACACATACACACACATACTGTCTTACATATACACTAACACTGGAAAGTGAGGAGGCGCTTTTGAGGTAGGAGATCACGTTTAGTTTATATTAATTTTCTTCAATCTGAGATAGAACAAGGGCACAGTGAAGCAGGTTGCTGCACAGGTGGATATATTACTCTAGCAGTAGTCATACTTTACATAAGTAAGATTGTGTGCAGTGAGTGTTGAGTGGGGTAAATTCTTGGCAAACTGTGGTGTGAAACGTGAACTTGGCAGCTCTGGAAAACCTGTATTAAAATTACACTGGAGAGACTGGTAGTGATAGTAATGGGTAAGGCACTTGCTGAGAAATTGTTGAGCATTTCTTGTGAATTTACACATTTCTTAAAGAAAGGCAGTTCCTAAAAATTCTATAGACTAAGTATATTTGTGTCTATTGACTGATTATTTTACCTGTGCAGTGCACCTTTACCTGAACCCTCAGTAAAATTCAGTTCAGAGATCTCTACATGAGTTTAATGGTATAATGGTAGTAAGCCATTCTCTGTTATCATTCTGCTATGCTATTTACAGATAGACAAATAATAAATAATGAGGTAATGTAAATATAATTATTATGTATTCTTATTCTTCTTTTCTTTTTCTTCTTATTCGTATTCTTATTATTGTTATTAGTAGTAGTAGTAGTAGTAGTAGGAGTAACAAGAGAGACATTTTTCAACATCTTTATTAGTTTTTATGGACCTCAAACCAAGCACATTTTGTGCATTTATCATAACTGTAACGAATGGTGGAAATCAGTGTTGTTCTTATGTTAGAAGTGAAAATTCTGCCTGCTTTTGTGAATTTTTACTATAGCCTTTTAAAAGCAAAAAAAATACAATGCAATCAGCATTCACTGCACACATCCTTCCTGGTACTTAAAAAAGGATGATAGCTTTTCTATTTTGAGAGAGGATTGATGGACATACTATTTGATGGATTGATAAAAGTTTGAAAACATGGAGGTAGATTAGATAAGGACATACCGGTTTTGTCGTTCACTGCATCAGAGATTTATTCAGTATCAGTATGTGGACTGTGTCTGTATGGAAAGCCAGAAATGGTAAGTATGTGATATAAAACAAATGAGTGCAAAGGGAAGCCAAAGTGTGTTTGCAAAGTGTGTTACTTTGTGTTCAAAGTTGCACTGTAAAAAAGTGCTAGTAGGTTAACGTGAATGACAGTCAAACAATTTCTGAGTTTAGAGTATGTAGAATTTCATTTTATTTTAGCAAAATATTGTATTTAAGAAACTTAACACAACATGTCAAAAATCGTTCTGGTCTAAATCCAGTAAGTTTAACAAGATTTAACTGACTGAAAATCAATGTACTTGATCACTGAAATGATGACCCATTAGCAGGCCCATGCACAGACATTTTGGAGGGCAGGGGCTCAAGGCAAAGGGTAACCTGAAGGTCAATTAAATCCAAATTTAATTTGGGGCCCTTTGTAGGCACTCTTATCAAGAGAAACGGTCTAATCATGTTTTAGGGGAAAGCAAAAGTAGTATTAGTGTTTCCCAAGGTAGTAAAATTTGGTGGCAGAGACATGGTCAAGCTATCAGCCAACAACACACTGTGAAATCCATGGCCTCTGGTCAGAGCACAGACATTCTGAGGGCGAGGGGCTCAAGGAGAAAAAAGGGCAACATGAACATGAATTAAATGCAATTTAATTTAGTTTACAAATATAAATGAAAGCATATTGCAATCACTGTTATGAAGAGAGACAGTATAATCATGTTTCAGATAAAACAAAATATAATGTTGAGTTTTTCCAAAGACAGCCAAAAAAATTAAAGTAACTGATCATGTGTGGATTAGAACCTGTTACCAGTATGCAAAATCATAGCATTACACACCACACTATTTAATTACCATATGGTGTTTAATCAGAACTCTTTTTCAGAGATCCACCCCTTATTGCCAACCTTATGTCATGGGATATGACTCTTTCTGAAATATATTATCAGCATTTTATCATAAGGATTTACAGCACTGTGATGATGCATTACAGGGCAAAGGGACAGTGTGATATCTGACATAAACAAAGCTGGACCCTACTTTTGACTGTCTTTATTATTATCAGCTTCAACCAGTTTTTTTGTCTTACTTGCTTTCGATAAAAGCTTTGCTCTAGTGCCCTGTACTTGTTGCCAAAAATACATAATACAGCTTCTCAGTTAATAATTGATTCACATTACTACTTATTTCTCTCCTTTTAAAGATTCCAGTTATTTGAAAAAGAAAATGTATTGGAATAACATAGCAATTACCTTTTTTGAAGTTAAAATTGAGTACAATTTATTTATTTTTTTTACAATCCTTTTCATAGGATGCAACATTGTCCAACTACCCTTTATATCATTGTTCCCACCAACACTCACAGATTGTCCCTCTTGATCTGTAACATCTGAGTGCATGACACAGTTCTTTGTCAGTTCATCCTCTGGGACTGTAACAGTTTCAGACATATCAGTCTCTGGTGACAGTGGATTTGAAACAAGTAGCCTGTCTGAAACATCAGTCTCTGAGATCTGACTGTCTTCACATCTGGCCAAAATCTGATCCACATTCTTTCCCTCTTTGCACACTTTTACCATCACTTATTCTGATCTTGTGGGATACACAAGACCCGTCACTTCTTCACTGACTCATCTAATCCATTTAAGACGATCAATGATATTCTTTGTCATTACCTCCTTCTTCAAATTTTTTGCCTTGGTGTTGCCTGTTTTGACTACTTCTGCTTACCCTGCTTGTGAGTCACCACCTTTTCAAGTCTGAATGCACCGGGTCTAGTGTTGACTTAATTTCCTACCTTGTTACATTTCTGCAGGTGACTTCCTTGTAGTAGACTGTGGTGCAATCCTATTACTGAACAACACATGAGCCACTTTGGCAGAGATACTTATTTCCTCAGACTTTCAAGACAACAAACATCTGGAGCTCTTCTGGCAAGACAGTTTGAGGATGCATAGAAGGGTGCAGAAGTCACATGTACTATACCATTCTTTGTCCTGAATTCTTTAAATTCTGCACTCACAAAGCAAGCACAATTGTCTGAAAATGTTATTTCTGTCTTTGGTCGCTAAAATGTTTGTGCAAATATTTAGCGTGTACAGGATATTCACTTAACCATTTATAATGGGCATCAATGACTGTGAGAAACATTTGTCCCATAACTGGTCCTTCATAATCAATGTGCAGTCGTCATCATGGCTTGTCTGGCCACTACCATGGAGGACGTCGGGCTACTGTTGGACATTTTGGTATTTATTGACGCCATGAACATGTTTTGACTTCAGTTTCAAGGCACTAGTCAAGCTTTGGCTACCAGAAATAACTTCCACCTAAAGCTTTCATACAAGTAACTATGACACTGATGAAGTTGTTTCAGGAGGTCTTGGAGGCCTAAACTCTTCTCATCACCAAGACCTCCAAGGAACAGTTGTAATTGGCAGGTTTTAATGATGAAAAATGCAAAACTACAAGAACAATACAAAATTTGAATAAATAATGAGACTAATGTACTGTTTACATTCAAGTAAAGTTAGTCTAAACTAACAACAAAGAAATAATCTCTGTATACCTTTCTAGTTTAACACTAATGAGAATTTAATTAGAAGACATTCTTACTGACAGGAAAACTTTTTTTAAAATAATTAGATTGTTTAAGCAATAAAACACGAGAGGGAGTGTGTTATCGCAAAATAACATCACTGCTGTGATTTGGTCGCAGGCACGAGCCAAAGGCCTTTTGAAGTACTGACTGAGCCGCAACATCAAGTTTAGCTCAGTGTTGTCATTTTTTGCTAGATCAACGTTAATGTGGTTTGTTCCAGCCAGTCTGCAAAGCATTTTGTTTGGCGAATGATATTCGGTTAATTTCTAGCTAATTCGAGGTTGTTTAGGTCTTCTTCTGTCACAGCTGCCGACTGAAAAGCTTGCTCAGCGGTAATGGCAGTTTCAGAATTTAGTGTAGTGTTATCTTCAGAGTCTGACCAAATCGGCTGTAGGTCGAATGTAGTCTTAAAAGGATCCATTTTCTGTTTGTGCACAAAGTAAGAAGTTCAAATGGCTTGAGCATCTCCTACAGCTGTCAAAGTCGCTGCTTAGCAATGGCTTCTCCGCAGAGTGATTTTTGGTGCGTTCCATTCTTAAGGTAGCTGCCTAACTAGCCTTCAAAGGCACCTCTCTTGTTGGGCAGCATTTTAACTGAAAAGGAAGCTTAGTAGGCATTGCATTCGGGACAGTGCTTCAGAGCCATTGTACGCCATAACTTTCACTGCGTTGTACTCGTCTTATTGGTTTACTCACAGTCACTCATTAGCTTACACTCACCTCCGACTGTAAAGGTGTATCATCTTAGTGTAAAAGGACGGCTCCGAATCTGCAGCTATTTTCCTTGCATTGACACTGCTGTGGAAATGTGTGTATGAAGAACAGGCTGCTTTAAGGAGTCGTATCTGTTGTTATACACTCTACTCGGCAGCCCAGATAAATACAGATAATCGTGACTATTCAGTTATGAATCATTTCAATTCATTCAGTCCTCATCCACCTTCATGAACCTGCTTTATTTCTAACACACAAAGGATAAAAATTATGTACAGTTTTGTACAAAATGCACTCAGAAAAAGGATCGCACACAATCTGTTAAGCTGCTAATATTCATTTTATTTTATGCATTCTCATCTTATTTATGAGCTCCTAGTCTGAAATTTAGCCATCAACATTCACCTCACACTTTTGTGACTGTGGTAAGCATAGCAATACAAGACAAGTAGAGCAGGAAAAATAAGCATTTGTGGCATTTATTTTTAAAAACATTTATTTTCGAAACTTCTACATCGTCCAGTAAGTTAAAGTATTTTTCATCGTTGAGGGAGACGGTCAGTCTGTAGCGCTGGTTTTGCTGTGTTTTCCCCCAAATATGCTCGGCAAGTGAGCTGCTTTTGGTCGTTCGCCGCAGGTTTCTCCCCGTAACAGCTTCTCTTCCTCAGCTCCTCAGACAGCGCCTCTCCGCTGCCTTGAGATATGCCAAGATATGCCTTGAGCTTTGTCATGTTTTTTGGTGAGGTTGCCTTTTGAATAGCACCGACCTTGTATGGCAGTGGGTGAAGTCCTGTAGAAGCCACTTTATGTCCTAAGAACGTCTTTGCCCATAAATGAGCTTTTACTCCACTTTAGCTGCAAGCCTGCCTCCTCTGACCTTTTTAGAACTTCACTTGGTGTTTTGAGATGTTCTTGGTCAGTCTTGCCTGTCACTACGGTGTCATCAAGATACACTGCTACATAGGGAAATCCCTGCAGTAAACCTTTCATGGTTCTTTGGAAGACTGCTGGACTGGACAAAACTCCAAAAGGAAGGCGATTTATTGCAAACAGACTCTTGTGAGTACTGATGGGACTACTGCTTTGCAAAGTCACTTGTTGAAAGGCATGACTTAAATCTAACTCAGTGAACTTATCACCACCTGCCAATTTCTCAAAAAGATCCTCAATTCTTGGAATTGGATACTGCTCTAACTTGTAATCGCCACAGATATTTTCAGAGTTGTCAGGTTTCAAAACTGCTCATTCAGAGAATTTCACAGGGTCTAGAATGTTCTCCTTTACTAGCCTATCCAACTCTGCTTCTACTTTCTGTCATACCCAGTGTCTTCTGCAATGTCTGTACAGTCTCAGCAATGTGGTTTAAAGTACACCAGTCCACAACCAGTTCTTTGATCCATTCATGACCCTCTTCTGACACTACTACTAAAGGTAGCTGTTTGACAAAGTCCTTGAGCACTACAGTGACAGTTACTTCTACAGTCTCTACTCTCTTTCCTGTATACGTTTTAAGACTGAACACTTGCTTAACTTTTTAACCTTTTGCCTTGTTTGTCTCTGTCAATTCTCGTCAACTTCATTGTCTGAATTTGGACTTTCACCAATGTGATGTGCTAACTGTTTGTTTTCCCTTTTTTCATAAGTTTTCTTTCATCCCCCCTGTGGGCTTGAAGTGATTGGAAGCCTGCTCTGCACAGTTTCTTAGTGTGTCCCACTTTCTTACATTTCTGACACTTATCCTTTGCAAATTAGCATTCTCCAGCCTTGAGCTCACTTCCATATCAGTAGCAACTAGTGCTTGCACAAGCTCCCTCTAATGGTTTTGAACTCAAAGAGTTAGTGCATCACCACCTGGCATCTGTCTGCAGCAACACTGTGAGACCTACTTTGTCCGCAAGTCAGAATCTCACACACACACGCACACAACAACAGCATGCCATCATTTGTGCTCAAACACAGACCCACACAATGCTATACTAGAACCAAAAATGCTATCAACATGCAAAAAAGGCAGGCTGATGTGTTACCACCATACAGAATCTAGGATTTTTTCCTTATTGCTTGTACAAGCTCCTTCTTGTGCTTTTGAACTCACAAAGAGTTTGTACATCACCACCTGGCATCTGTCTGCAGCAGTGCTGTGAGACCTACTTTGTCCCTGCACATCCTTGCTGCACTCTCTCACGTGTCTTGGGGTTGTAATGCGTCTTTAACAGTTCCACAAGCTTGCCACATGTTTTATCACCCAATTTTGCAGCGCTCAGAACATTTCTCATGAGGCTATAGGTTTAGCGTCCCCTGAGCCAAGAAGAACTGCTTGTTTTACAGTCGTTTTAGCAGTGTTACGCTACCTGCTATATCTAATTCAAAAGTCCTTATTTATTTGCTATTCATTTTTCATTGTCAGGAAAAAGTAGAAAACATACCACACCAATCTGCAGGGGGATGTGGCTTACAATCCTTACAGTATCTCGCATGTTTAATGTAATGTCTGCAGTCTGTAGATGATGCTAATGGAGCACACTCCACAAAACATGTCTTAGTAACCATATGATCGACCTTCTGAATTAATCGAAAAGATAGTCACTGTAGCTCAGGGTTTGGGCCTTCTTTACTGTCAATAGTATGGAGTTAATTTTGTGCCAAAATGTTTGAGAGAAGATCATGATGTTTGAGAGAGGAATGTTACGTTTTAAGAGGACAACGGTGCTCTGAGCGTGCAGCTAATGAACTTGAATGCACTTGTCAGCATGAAGTGCGCAGGTATCTGCACAGCAATGCATTTCCCTTTCAGAACTTGTACATGCAAAACACTTACTCAATTGTGCTCTTCACCTTCAAAACTCGCATGTGCGCGCAAATCATTTCTGCTCTCAACTCCACAGCACACTCTCAGGTTTCACATCCGCTCTGTAAAATGTCTGAACATTTGTGTCAAAACTCCAGCCAATCAGAGCTGTCGAGGGGCCGTTCCTGTCGCCAGTGCACCAATCATGGCATCTTTTTTTAAGCAGCTTTATGCCAATTGGTCAAGGTAAGTTCATGGCTGAGGTATTGAGTCGGCTAGTGTGCTTGTAGACCTCCTCCTGTCTGCTGACTATTATTCTGACCTCCCTCTGCTTCCTTAATACAAAAGCACACAAATGTAAAACTCACCATCATCTATACTGTTCTACTTAGCATTATGCCTGCATGACAACCACAATAAATACAGGCTGCATTTTCATCTCCACGTCCTAATTCTTGCAAGTTGCAACCCTTTTTTTTTGCACCAAACAAGAGCCTTATATCTCCTCTCCTCTCCTCTTGCTCATGTTGACTCATGTTGGGAATAAAATTTAGGTTCAAGGGTTCAAGAAAGTAGTCATACATTTGAACAAACTCAGCCTTCATGGACTTGATATTGTTCAACTACTCACCCAAGTAAAACCCCATTTTCTTCTATGGTGCGTTTGCCCTCCTGTCTTGGTCTCGGGTGAGTCCATGCTATGAAGGAAACTTAAAGACATATCACTTTTATCATTTGTTTTTTTTTTTTTTGTTTTTTCTTTTGCTTGTAAACATGCTCCTTTAACATACAATGCAATACATAATAATATATGTAATTTTAACATTTCCAACATTTAGTGTGTTCACGTTTTCCCTTTATTATAGCTTCCATTCTTTTTAGGAGACCTGATTTCAGTTTTTCAAAGAAATCGGTTTGCACCATGTTGTAACTCACAAATTGTTTGAAGATGGAGACTAACTAATAAAACAAGAGGAATCAGGTTTGCTTCTGCTTGATTGGAATGAAAACCACAACAACCCTGTGTAAATAAGGCTGGTGACCCCTGAACTAATTACAAGTCACAATGACAAGTTATTTGCGCCACAAGTCCTTAACATTGCATTAAGTTGTTGTTAGGTTTGCTTTATTGGTGGGATTTCCAATGGTGTGTTGATGCATGCCTCTGTGACAGTTTGGACTGCTGAGGCTGGACTGCTGAAATGGGTCTTGAGGAATGGCCACATAAAATACTATTACACACAGAGCAAGAGGGCACTTGTACAGTCTGAGGGCAAAAGGGCATTATCGGTTTCTAACTTTTTACTGGAAAAAACATGGAAAATTAATAAAGTCCCATGCAAACGGCTACCTTGATGTTTTTTGAGTATTCTGAACACCTGATTTTTTTTTACTGTGTGATTTGACACACTTCCCAATAACCCAGCAGTGGTAAAGTCTCACTTTATGAATTTACACTTTGAGTTTAGAGTCTTGACAGGTCTTTGAATCCAAGTAAAAATGACTGTTTGGACTTGGTGGATGATTTGAATAATGTTCTGTTTTGCTACAGAGTTTGGAGGAGCGTTGTAATCGAATCCTGCGGGAGATGGAGGGTTCTCTGACAGCCCACGATAGAGTGGGCGTCCAAGACTTTGTACTGCTAAATGCCTACACCAGCGAGGCAGCTTTTCTGGACAACCTGAGGAAACGCTTCAGTGAAAACCTCATATATGTGAGTAAAGTAAAGTGGTTTGGGGCCTGGCTTTGCATCAAGCTGAAAATTAATAGCAGCTACTGAGAGTGTGAATAACTGAATGTTTGCTAAACTCCTACAGTGACTGACGGTCATAGATGTAAGCACAAGTGAAAGTGAATGAATTTGTATGTGAAACAACATTTAGCACTGTTTTGCTGAGCCATGGAAGCTGCTGTGTGCTTCCATGCATTTTTGAATAATAAGCCACTGTTAACTTACATTATATGTCATATATATGTATATATATATATGGAGAGAGAGAGAGAGAGAGAGAGAGAGTGTGTAAGTTTTCTTAAGCATCTAAAAAACTTTACGGGCACCCGGTTAGGGTATATAGAGTTAGTATCGGTATCGGCAGTTTCAGCAGGTGCTTGAGGATCAGACCAGTATAAAAAAGTAGTATTGACGCAAATCTTTTAAAACTTTATTTGAAATGAAAATTTGTCTAAATAAGAATAAAATCAGTATGAATAATATTAAACAAACGCATTGCAACATATACACTAAGAAATTTATTTTTACACTTTATCCTTAAAATTGGCATTGATTATTTAAGATAAACTTAAGCTGCATTGTATGTGGATTCAGGATTCTAAAGAAACAAAACCACTGATATTCCTCCTTAAACAGTGAAACTGACCCCTGAATTAACCACTGAAAATGTTCTACATTCTACCCTCACTGTAATACACTGGTTTAAGTAGTTAGTTTTGGGTGATTTAAGTTGAACTATACATTAATTCTTTATTTTTCATTGGTCATTGATGTCCCTTAAACACAAAAAATAACCCCCTTAATCAGCTGATGATTTGTATATTTCATTCAGTAGTAAAAAAAAAGGAATTTCTACCAAAAAAAAATATATTTAACCTAAAAAAAATCAGCAACAGAATATTGTCACACTGATCACCACCACCGAGATCAAGAGTTAATCCAAACTGACAGTCAGATACAGGCAAGGTCAAAGTCGGGTAAGCAGGCAGATGAGCAAGGTAAACACTCCAAAAACACAAACGCTAATTTCTTGGCCAAAATTGTAAGGAGGATTTGCATCATCATACAAGCTCTGTGTGCTTTTGAGAAAACACATAACAAATCGCTCCCTTCTACCACATACAACCAATAACATTTCATACAAGCCTTCACATCACGACAGAGCACACAGCCAAGCAGCCATGGTATCCATGAGAGTCAGACACATCAGCATAATAATACTTTTGTCCCTGGAGAGAAAGCAACGGTGAGCGACAATGGAGCGGAACGAAAATGCCAAAATGCGGTTGTTGTACAGAGAACAGCAGGGCCCAGCGCTACGTTCAGCATCCAGCCACCTGAATCCTTCAATTTTTCTAAGCCTCAAGATTGGGAGAAATGGATTCGAGCGGTTCAGGATAGCAACACAAACACTCTGAGGAAAAGCAGGTGAATACGTTCATTTACTGTATGGGTAATGAGGCTGATGACATTCTGCGTGGCTTGGTAGTCTTGTCGTGGGGCTAGCAGACACGCAACTGTCTGAATGCATGCAGTTAGACCAAGATCTAACACTAGAAAAAGCCATTACAATGGCAAGGCAAAGTGAGGAGGTGAAACGTCAACAACGTTCCTTGCAGTGTGACACAGGCGCCATGCTGCTGAAGCCAGCTCTGTAGATAGAGTGTACAGGAGCAGTCGGAGAGTTGCTAAACCCCAAAAAGACATTAGCCAGAATGCTAAGTCACAAATTGGCAAACACAGCAAAATGCACAGTGCCCAGTGCCATAAATACGGTAGCTCCCAACCCCACCTGAAGCGTGAGTGTCCTGCTAATGCGGCAAAATGTCATTCCTGTGGAAAAAAAGGTCACTTCAGGCATGCATGAAATTGTTCATGAAATCAAAGAGAGCGATGGTGTGTTCCTAGGGAGCACTGCAGCCGATGGTGAGCCGTGGATGGTTGACATAGACATTTCCTTCAAGCACGGGGGAAGATGTAATGGTCCTTCCACAAACCATGATTAAAGAAGTCTTCAGTGGCACAGACCTACCTGTTCTCAAGGATGCAGCAAAACCTCTACTAGGACCAGGTCGGATTCCTTTAGTTGTTGGTGTCATCAGCCTGCTGTTAAAGAGAGGAGAAAAGGAGGCTGTGGAAGACGTGTATATCATTCAAGGCCTGCATTCTGCACTGCTAGGCAGACCAGCTATCTCAAAGCTTGGGCTGGTTGCACGTCTAGACTGCACTGACAAAGGGACATTACAAACATGCTACCCAAAGCTGTGCAGTGGGCTTGGTGTGGTTTGACAGCCATACGTTATCAAGCTGAAACTAGGGGCTGTTCCTTTTTCTCTTTAGACTCCCAGACGAATCCCTTTACCATTAATGGGCAAAGTCAAAGAGGAATTGTCCCATATAGAAAGGCTGGGAGTAATCAGCAGAGTTGAAGAGCTGACAGATTGGTGTGCTGGCATTGTTGTAGTCCCTAAAAAGTCAGGCTCTGTGAGGATATGCCTGGATCTCACCAAGCTTAATGAATCTGTATTTTGGGAGAAGTATATCCTCCCATCTGTAGAACAAACACTGGGAATGCTTGCAGGAGCAAAACTCTTCAGTAAATTATATGCCAATATGGGATTCTGGCAAATTCCACTGACAGAAGAGTCTGCAAAGCACACAACATTCATAACTCCCTTTGGCCTCTTCTTTTTCTGGAGGTTGCACTTTGGTATTGCCTCTGCGCCAGAACACTTCCAGAACAGGATAGCAACTGAGGTCATAGATGGCCTTGAAGGCGTTGTATGTCACATGGATGACGTTCTCGTGTGGGGCAGGAATCAGGTGGAGCATGACACTGTTGCAGAGGTGCATGCCGTGTTGCAGAGCATGCAGAAGGCGGGGATCACACTCAATCTTGATAAGTGTTACCTGTCTACCCAAGAGGTGAGCTTTCTGGGCCATGTAATTTCAGACAGTAGTATCAGTCCTGACCCTAAGAAAACAGAGACTATTAGGAGATAAAGGAAACTTTCAGCGTTAGCGAGCTCAGGATCTTTCTTGGAATGGTTAATTAGCTAAGAAAATTCATTCCTCAGTTGGCTGAAAAAGACAAGGCACTTTGTGATCTACTATCCAAGAAGAACAGCTGGGTCTGTGGCTTTCCAAACCCTGAAAGAGGCACGGTCATCTCTGCCTGTGTTGGCCATGTATGATCCCAACAGGGACTGCAAAGTGTCTGTGGACGCGTCTTCTTGGGTTGGGTTGGGAGCGGTTCTTCTCCAGAGATGGAAAATGGAGTGGAAACCTGTGGCCTATGTGTCACAGTCGCTTACCCAGACAGAGCAAAGGTTTGCACAGGTGGAAAAAGAGGCTTTGAGTCTAACCTGGTCACCAAGGGGTGGTGAAATGCAGAGAGCGGGCACATCAATCAGTATGGTGGCCAGGCCTGACCCAGCAGCTAAACAAAATTCTGCTCAAATGCAGAACATGCATCAAGGAGCGTCAGAACCCGAAAGAGCCAGGCATGCTGTCTCAGTTACCTGACCGGCCGTGGCAGAAGTTAGGAACAGACTTGTTTATGCTGGGAAGCAAAACCTACCTGATGGTAGAGGTCTACTACTCCAGGTATGTGGAGATTGCCCATTTAACTCCTTCCTGGTGCAACAACATGATTATGCATCTAAAATCTATATTTGCACGTCATGGAGTTCCAAAGACCCTGGTGACTGACAATGGGCTTCAGTTCTCTGGGCTAGCCTTTGCATCCTTCACTGAATCCTATGGGTTCTGCCATATTACCAGCAGCCCTAGGTTTCTCCAACGTAATGGTGAGGCTGAGCGCACTGCCAAAACTGTGAAGTCTCTTCTCAAGAAAGCTGTAGACCCTTATCTGGCTGTACTGTTCTCGTTAAGGTGTTAGAACCAGAACTAAACAGCAGCCAAACTCTATCCACAAAAGGCTAGAAGAGTCAGGATGTAGCTTCTTGCTCCAACTTTATTTGCCTTGAATATGTGAATTTAGAGTGAAACTGAAAACACATGAATTACTAAAGGTCACTAATGTAGTTTCCATATAAAAGGTAAATTATAAGTCTGTAACAAACACAAATGAAACAGCATATGACACCAGGACAAAGATACAGGGTAGCACCAAGCTAGGAGCATGCTAGCAACCACAAAAAATGTAATTACTCTCAAAATGAACTTAAACAGGACTCAATTCTCAAAAATATGCTCATATAAACAGTCAATCAACTAAAATGTTTACTCACAGACATTGCTGCAAAGAGAAAAGGGATGACAACAGATTAAGCTGAGCATGCACTAATTTCTGGCTGTGCTCTTCCAACACTTCCTGGGTCTCTACTTCCTCTCTCTTTTTTAAATGAACATATTCAGTATATCCACTAGGAGGCGCTATTTTCTTGCCTAAATAAACATTTCATCCTTTGCTTTGCCTGGAAGGCAGAACACTGGCTCTGCTTACTTATAGAGCCACACCACTGCAAAATGGATAGAGTCCTGTGGCTTAACAGCTGCCAATGAAATGACATCCCTGAACTGCCGTCTACTCCTAGAACCAGGCCCGGGAGAGTCATGTGGAAGCCTACAAGACTGGACTTGTAGAAGCCACGGAAAAAAAAAAAAGGAACAATACGTGTGTTGTTGTTCTGTATGCATCAGTATATAGCTCAGTGTATTTGCTAAGAACAGTTGACATAAATAATGAATATCAGTTAGTGTAAGACAGCTAAATGTTTAGAAGTTTAAACAGAGTTTGTGGGGTTTCTCTTTAAGGTTTTGATAGGAACAGACCTTCCAGCGACAGGGGTGGAATAATCCCCTAAGGTCTGCCGAGACAAAGGTAGTCCACCCTTTGTCTCTAGAGAGGGGAGATTTGGTGTTGCTGTATCTTTAAGGGCATGTTACGGGGATGCCTGAGAGAGAGAGTTAAAGCAATATGCCTATAAGATGTTGAGTGAAGCTTGCAGTAAAACATT